CCGAAAGCCGGCGATTACCCGCCGCGCGTTCCCGCGAAACCAGACAGCACACCGGCGCGGCTCGGCCAATCGTCGAGCGATCGTGTCAGGTTTATCGACGACCACCCTGCCGTTAGATAAGAAACTGATCGACGCTTCGCGCGGACAATTAGTCCGCTGTTTAAAACTGCCGGATCGCCCGCCGCGATCTCCAATTTCTTCGCTGTTCGCACTCCCGTGTCGAATGTGACTCGACGTCAGATTCAAGTGTGCTCCCTGCCGAGACATTTTCGAATTCTATTATATTACTGTACTATTTTCAATGGTGTAGGATATAGGATAGAATAAGCAATATTCTGGAAAACGATCGAAATTCTCGTGGCAGCCTTTGCACGCTAAAGCTTCTCGTTAGAAATCGCGTTATCTAATGAGATTTACGCGACGTTCATTGAAACTAAGAAACATGCATGAATTAACCTTTTGCGAACGATTGTGGTCAATTCGAAGAGATAAAATGTTCACGTTTCGAAGACTAAGTTGCAAAGAAATGTTTCAATGGCAAACAGCAAAAGATCAACGCGTAGTTTCTGCGTTTCCTATTATATAAGCAATTGATATATAATTTAGCCTCGTCTGCCGAAGTGCGTTTCAAAGAATCTTCGTCCGCTATGGGTTAAGGAACAAAGCCATTTCATTTCAATGTTTCGCATACCGATGTACCATACGGTTATCGTGTATAAAACTTGATAATTCTTCCGATAGTCGGCCCTCGAGTGCAGCGGGTTAATCGTACACGAGCTCGGCATTAAAACCAACCATTATGCCCGAAAATTCAGAACGGACCAGCAAAACGATGCCAGTGTTCCCGGCGATAAAAATAGCTCGAAAGTGAAGCCACGTTCGTGGCGAAAATAAATCCATCTCCGCCATCGCGAATGGGAATCCATAAAGGCAGCGAGAGCCTTCGGCCGTTGGTTGAACGGAGCTCGGGCCTTCGGACTCGGAGCGATTTGAAAGCTTCTCTCTAACTCAAGGTAAGTCAAAAGGGTCCGAAAATATCGGCTGACGCATCCGCGCGACGAATATCTCGCTTTTTTTCCTCTTTGTTCATCAGCTTTCTCGACGGCCGGCCTCTCCTCGCCGCGAGAACTCTCCCCCGTCCGGAATCCGGCATTTTATTTCCGTTGCGGTGTCAAAGCTATCGGTAGCTACCCGTTCGTCCGACTAGCTCCGTTTCCACGTTTCGGGTCCCACGAAATTCCGCGCGGCCACCCGTCCCGAAGGCGAAACCGTCGGATCGACCGTTACGCAGGGTCGAGGCGAATTGGATCGCCCTCTCTTTGACGACGCGGGGATAAAGGTATCGGAGCTTCGTAATAAAAAGGGAACGAGAATTTTGAGATCTTCCTCTCGCGGATGAGGGACAAGTGGGACACGTAATATGCGATACGACCAATGCGGATTGGATTCTTGTTTCGATTCACCCCGTGATCCGATTCGAGTCGGACTAGCTTACGCGGTGATCCGATGATCGTAGCTGAACAGGGAATGAACGGGTTCCCGGTGCAAACGTCTATCGAAGCCGCAACGATCGAGAGTCAGGTACGAAATGGACACTTGCAAATACACGGGGAACAGGGAAATCGTGGCACCGTGACTCGAGAACGTCGAGAACTCGCCAGGTTTGGTCATTCCTTCCGTTTCCATGAGGAAACCTCTACAGCTCGAAGATCTTATGGCTTCCCTTGCGATTCGACTGTATGTAAACATTCGGAGCACAGGAATTGTTAACCGTCATCGTTTCAGAACTCCTTCAAGGTCGCCGGTATTTTTATCCGCAAGGCAACGGATAGTACAAAAAAGACATGCTTCCCAGCAAAAAGGTACCGGTGTCAGTGACCACTTGGACCGATTGTTTTTAGATTCGAGTGTACGATCGGCTGAACTCGAGGGTGTCTGTTCGTTACCTTCCTACTCTACTTATCGCGATGAAAAACTGTACGTACGCGTTGGAGGAACACTACGAACCCTTTGGACTTGACAATATTTTCGATTAGAAATATCCATCGTTTCCTGACGAGATGTCCGACGCTATTTGCAACTAACATAGAAACAAATCTTGCATAAACTCAAGGACAGATGTTAATATCTCATTCAGAACTTGACGCTGAACTTTTAATGTTACAATTATAGTGTGTTGGATCCAACGACCAAGTGTCACTTCTCGAGGGGTTAACTATTCGAACAACAATCGACTAACGGATCAATACGTAATTCTCTGTTTCTAGTATTTAGGAATTCAATGGACAATTCAGCTTCCTTTGCTGAAAGCCATCCTCCTTTCTGCTGCACCATAATTTCGAGGGCGCTAAGTAGGATGCTACTGACATTCACATCAGACCGATCTAAAGAGCGTTGATAATGGCGATTTTCGTCGCACGGAACACTTGAGATTCCGTCGTTCCTCCGCGTCTTACGCACGTGGAATTGTGTAAGAGCGGTCGTCACGTGGGTGTAGGTGCGTGCCGAGGCACTTTAACGCGTCCAACCGGCCAGACACCATGCGCACAAGCGGCGGCACATGTCGTTACATGATTCTGATCGACTCGTGCGAGAACAGCTAATGAATGGCCGCTGTCGTGACACCTCGAAAATGTTTCTCGCCTTTTAGGAAGCATATTCCGGCACATGATCCCCTGGATTTACATAATTCGCGTTTTCGGGAAATACCGCTTTTTCGGGTCGGCATGAGACTTTCGACTGTACAAGTTGCTTCGGAAGCACCGAACATTTTTTTCCAAAATAAATCTAATTAACCTGATTGATTGCAACTTTCAATTACACCGTGTGCATTCGTATAATTTTATTCGCGGAAATGATACATTATGTAGCATTGATTCATTTACATATAAATCTAACAGATGCAACTAAAAACATCGCTGACTCGTTTTTGTTCTAACATGGAAGATCACGAGAGAAACCCGACTTCTCCGTCGCGTTATGCAGAAACGCGTTCCAGAGACTTTCATAATAAACGATACAGCAATTAAAAGACCTTCGGAGACATTTTAATCGGGACAGCTAAATCGTTATTATCCGCGTTATCGTTCACGTGCGCAAAAATCAATTGTCGCGGTAGCAATCAAAATTATTATAAACGCGGCGCAGATAATCGCCTTGGTTGCTGATACGTATCCGTTAAACGGAAACTCAATGAACGCGAAACGCACTGCTGCCCCTAAACGCTCCGAACTGCGCGCGGATCGAACGCATATCGTGTAACCGGTGCCCGAACGCGGTAATAAACGACCCAGGGTATGTTCGAGAAATTCCGAGCGGCTAAACGCGGGGAAACGGTGTGCGAAGAAAAAAAAAGTATTCCTAAAAGTTTCTCGACTCGACGTCCGTTTAGGTAACCGATAGTCATCAAAACAAACAAGTTTTTCTTCTTGACACCGGTGTGTAAGTACCGTGGCTCGCTAAATATTTCAGCCTGAACCGAGTACACATGACTGATAATAACGCGCTCGTGTCCGTTACATTCGATAGATCGATCCTTCCCGCTCGTGGCTATCGACGACTTTCACCGTCAAATAGAAATTGAAAACCCAGTTTCGAATTGTAAAGATACAATACGGTGAATCAGACCCCTTTCTAATGCATGAATAATACACTCGATCGTTGATCGGACGTATCTAATCTATCTCAGATCCGCGCTTCATTTCATTCTGTTAATTAATTAGCACTATTTCTATCGAAGGTGTCGAAAGGCACCTTTTGAAATTTCAACACGTTCCACGGAGATTTCGGTTATATTCTACTTATGAGTCGTATTCAGGTTTTTAATGAAATATTAAGTGGTATTCAAGTTGTTGGTAATTTTTATATGTTTTGACATTATTCCTTTATGTGGACGTGTTAGCTTAAAATTGTTTTCTGAATTGTCTTTTCGACTTTCTCGATAACGATTATAAAATTAACTATAGGAAACGTCTAAAATTCAATTGAGGAAAACCGATTGGACCGAGGAAATAATGTTAAGATTTCAAGAGGTGACCTTTGACACCTTCGGTAGGGATAGCGTCAAAGAAATTCCTTGAACACGAGACACGGATACGAGAATCGTGACCTGATAACGTTTTCACGTTCACTGTCACGGTAGAAAGTCCGTCTCACTTTTGAGTCGCGCCGCGTGGTTATTCGTGCACCTGAAGCTCGCCGGTTAATAGGTTCGGAACGGACGGATTTGGAAAAGCGATCGGCGAGTCGGAGGATAGGTTACCTAACAGACACGTCGTAACGTAATAACCGAGTTGTCGCTAAAGCCGACTGACGGTACGCGAGCAAAGATAATACGTATTCCGATGCGATCGAAAAACAAACGAGCTCGACCGTGTCGTGCAGGTGCATGCGAAATGATGTGTACGTGCGAAACCGTCGGGGTACGTACACACCGGATTCGTCAGGTGAAAGAATTTCACGGCACGGCCGAAAACGAGACGCTTCCAGCCATTTCGATCGAGCAATCGGATTTCTTTAACTCCTTCGACGAGAACTTTCGTGTTCCTTCGTCGTTTCTCAACATTTTCCTCGATACGATAACATTCGTTCGGTGACGCGTAAAAGTCATAGATCGAACGATATCTAGGTTAACGAATTAGTTCCGTATCCCGGACTGCGTATTTATGTTTCGTCGCGTTCTCGCATTTCTTAATTTCCATGTAACATTTTGTGCGCGACCTTGAACGAATAATCTTAAAAACAATCTAAAGACGTTTCGAATCGAAAGTCGCGCTGGCCCACGAAATGGGTATCGTTCTTCCGACGGTGGCGAAATAAATTGAATATTTTATTCGTTCGATTTTTCTGTCGACACACCGTGGAAAACGGTAACGATTCTCGAGGAAATTCGATCGACGAGAATTGCGGTACGGTAGCGGACTAGGAACGCGCGCGCAGCACGTAAACAAAGCCACGAGATCGAACGGGAAGAGAGAGGTTATGTGACGACGAACACTTACCACATCGTACATCCAGGAATCCATGGCATCTGTCGTTCGATTTCACAATGGCACGGAGACACACTGTCGTGTTTGTTACTCGCACTGTTCCACAATAAAAGGGGGAAACGATCCTCGAAATTCTGGTGTCTCTGGGCACGGGATGAGCGGACGCGGATAGGCACGCGCGCGCGCGCACACGTATGTACGTTACACACCACCTCCTGGCACACGACGTTCACGGTGCGACGAGCCGTACGCGACTGACGGCCGATACGCCGAGGATACGGTAATACGCGGGGCGAGCCACGATCTTAACACTGGCCGTCGCGAATCCGCAAAACGCGCCTTTATTCCGCTAATTACCTCATTGCAAGTACTGGAGAACCCTTAACGTCCGACAATGAACCTATTGAACGATCGGTATTTTTAACACGTCGAATGCCGCGCGATTTCGCATAGCAAAATACACGAGGTGCGACGACTGTATCAAATTATTTCACCGAATCGTTTTATTATCGTCGCGCGTTCATTCAAATATCACAGCGTTAGGCAGCACTATCGATAATAGAAAAATGCTTGCAAGCGATCATCGTTTAATTGACTGAATTATTCGATTTGGCCGGGGGTCATCGGTGACCCCCGTCGCTTTCAACGCGTTAAAGGAAACTTATCGTACGATCGTGTCTCGGATGTTAAACGACAATACAGTGAACGAACCGATTAGTTTCTAATATGTAGATAATAAATTTTGCCGTGGGTTGAGAATGAACCAGCTTTTTCCAACCGTTGAAATTGGAACCATTAACTACACGGTCAACATCGTGAGGATACATTTGCCGAAGCGGAGCTTCTTTATGACTAATTTTGTAAACAAGACATCAGAGGCTACACACTTCGAATCGTCTAGCGATGCTGGCGTTAATGCGTGGGGTAGAGTAAGTGGTTCTTGAGTAACTCCTCGCAAATGGTCTGCTAAGTGTTACCTAGCGACGCCTGGGTCTACCTCGACCCGTACCGGCCAGTCATTCAATTTTTCGATTTATTAGAGCTCGCCTGTATTGAATTTCAATGGGATGGGTAATCGGTGTCTATACGGATCCAGCAACGTCACCGATACAGAGAAACGCGAGCCACCGAGGACTAAAATAACCTTAACATTAGTTTCGCGTCTAGTGGGAATACAGCACGGCAAGAACGTGTTGCATCGCCGAAATGCCGGCGTCGGGTCTTGAAACGTTGCTTATCGACAATGAGATCACCGGTCACCCTAATCTAACCGCAACTGTTACCGGTTCCCGCGAGTAATTATAAAATATCGCCGCCTAGCATCGCGCTCGCGACTAATCGGGCATTAACACTCTCGAGAGTATTGAGTCACCTTGGAATCATTCAAGGTTCCATTTTTCTCTCTCCTTCAATTGCTCGTCGAATCGTGCGAGCAACGGACCGGTCACATGAACGGCATTATACGCGGTCCCCGGTAAAACCCGTACGGGAGCATGGCGCGACGGGACCGGGCGAACTCGCGAAGGGATTGAATTTTCAAAGGCAGGTGTGTAAATCGACCGAGCTCGAAAACTTTCCCTTTCCCCGTCCTCGGCGCGGCTGTCCGGCACTCGTATTCGCGTTGGTACGTTACTGGTGTTATGCGTGCTACGTGTATATCAGGATGGTAGGCTATGTGGGCGGGAGAGACGGGGGCGGTGGCTGTGATGGCAAAACGGAGGAGGTGGTGGTGGTGGCGGCGGCGGCGGCACTGGAGGCGGCGGCTAGTCAGCCGACGGCGAGGGGGGTACGGTGGTATAGCTGGTGGCCTTGAACTTGACTGCCGCCGTTTTTGCACACAGCCGTCGCACGCCCAAAACAGCCCACCGGCGTAGACACCGAACTTTTCATCTGCCGACGCACCCGCCGCGCCGCTACCCCAACGCCGAGAGCCTAACCTCGCGCAGTTACAATCTGCTTCACCTTGACGGGGCCACCCCCGAAATTCACGGACCAATGGTCGATCTAGTTTCTCCTCGTCATCGAGAAGCAGAATACACCGACGTCGAGGCGAGTGTTACTTAATCGAAAATTATTATCAACTACAGCCACCGCGCTAAGGAAAACATCAAACACATCTATTTGCATAGTCTAATCGGATGTGTCTGCAGCTTCTGTACACATCGCACGCCAGAGGAAATACGGAAAATTTGAACGGGCAAGTGTTTAACCATTCGAAGAGCGCGAACAGATTGTGTTCGTTGCGATAGATTAGAATCTCGAATAAATTTCAACCTGAATGAAAAGCGATCCGTTCAATGAAAGCAGGTACGCTTGTAGCGACGAATCTTATACTTCGATTTCAGAAATATATTTCGAGTCGGGTGAAGTGTATCTTCGGCGAATTCACCGTGCGAACCTGTGCAACAACACCACAGTCGCATCTATTGTCTGACGAATGTTTTCGAATGGATTATCCGTTGCGAGAGTCATTACGCAACCTTGTGTTGGGTATTTTCGACATTTCCTGGTACATTGGATGCGGTAAACGGGTTGGGCGGTTGAGAACATATTTGCATATGATATCAAACCACTCTATTCCGTACAACGACTAAATATGGTGCAGAACTAACAGTTGCGATTCCTCGGAAAGCTGTCGAAATAAATCAGAGGTGAATAACTTAAGAAAGCTAAACAGCTGGTAAAAACACAACTAATGTTGATTGCGGATAGATTACAAATTAAACGGATCGATATGACACTACCGCTTTCTTCGTGTTCCTAATGTACCTGTTCTATGCCTTGTGCTATGAACGCAAAGGTCTGTTATATTTCATTGAACAAGCTTTTATAAATTACCGGCTGAACGTACTTAAGCGAGTCACCCATTTGTAGATGGCATAAAATGTCTGGCTTTTAAAACTTCTATAAATAATTCGTTGGAAAACGTGTTACAGGATTTTTATTAGTCGATAAAAATAAGTAACGCGTCATGTTTCATTAGAAACAACTAGAAATGATCATTTTCCTTATCCTTTTAGTGGTCACGATGATCTTATATAATCATATACGGCGGGTTTAAATTAATTAATTATACTCAATTGAAAGTTACCCTCTAAATGCAGTGAGATCGTCGGTAAAAAAGAAATTGATAACTGCATCGGTCGGTATGATTGGAGGTAATCGAAATAATAATGAATTAGTTCAAATTTAATGTTAAATCAAATAGACATTAAAGCGACGAGTATAAAGAAATCAGTAGGGATAGTGAATTTCAAACTCCGTGTTGGTTTAATTGCATCGAAGGACACTGGCGTTAACTGAACGATATGCAACACAGTTAAAGAATTACAACAAGCGATAAATTCGAAGGTAGGAACCATTCTTTTGCAAAGTAATATTTCAACGTACGTCAGTAACGTAGAAACGTATATAATGGACTGCATGTTTCAAAGCCTATACAAATCTAATCTTCTAATATAAGTTTGATATATGTACACTGAAAACTGGAGTAGATGGTTGGAGCTTCTCGCACGATTTATCGCACCATTAAATCTGATACATCAATCAACAAACGATAGAATACACAATAAAGATAAAGCCTCGAATTCTCGTTTATCGTCGCACGTTCGATTTCATAACTTGTGTTTTTTTGGACGAAAAAAAATCAAGGCCATAACAACCGTGTTGTGAAACCCGCGCACCTAATTTCGAAATCAGGAAACAAAAGGAAACCACCAAGATCGAAACTTATACTTTACATATGGCGACGACGGTTAAGAAAAAATTCGTAAACGAAACACGAGGTACAAAACTGTAAGAAAAAGTGAAATATACACAGCGACATGTAAACGAATTCGTAACAAAAATGGCGGAACAAAATTTGGCAGATCGTCGGTGCTCGGCAGATCTACTTTCTCTGCGAAAATGCACCGTAAAACGAGGTAATAAATGTAAAGAACGGATTCAAAAACTTACTTCGTAACCTGTAATTGTTCACGTATCTCCATCGACGTTTAGATATTTTTGAACACAAGAAAAATATTGTAGCAATGGCCGACTCCACAACTCACTAGAAGCAGAAAACTCGATGGTTCCGATTGTGGTGCGTGTGGCGCCATCAGACGTTTACAAAATAAGACAAAAATCATATTCTCGCACATATGCAGTGCTAACCTCTAACGGAAAAATAACGTAAACCTGTCGCTATCACGGTGAACAGAAATGTTCAAAATTACATACGAAAAATTAAACAGTTTAAAACATTCTACAGTTTCGAAGAATCATAAACTATCGACTATCTAATACTCTTTTTATTAAATATATTTCAAATCAAATAAAATCCTAATAAAATCACATTTATTTCTTATATTTCAGTGTGTTGAAAATGAATTTTGCTGGAATGTTGAAAAAATATTTCGACGAGAATTCTTAAACTTTAGCAATCTCGCAGGACACATTGTGTGGACTCCATTTCCCATTACTATTTGGTCGTATGCAAAGTTTCGCATACGTATACTTTTGCAAACGTTCCGGATTCAAAACGAGACATTCGTTCACTACTTTGCAGTAGTATTTGATGTCGGAGGGTAATATCATTATGTGTGGTTGACGTTCGAAGCAACCATACTTTTTCCATAAGATTGTATCAAGATTCAAACTGGCGAAAGGTGGATACAAGGGATAGAATGTACTTTGTGATAACACGTGATTAGCTAAACGAGCTAACCTATCCATGCCAGGTGTATTCCTAAAAAAGATCGTACGTTACATTCAAATCCTAACTGAATTATTCTGTCATTCTTGCATTCAACTTACGATACTTCATGCTGTCCCAAATGTCTAACGATATCGACCGAAGTCATCCCTATTTGCAAACCATCCACGTTTATGATACACGGATCCGGCATTGGATACAAACACGAAGCATTCGATCCAAGTTTATTCGTATAAATGGTAAACTCTGGTGTCGGATAAACCGGATCATGATGGACGTCACGGTTCGAAGGTACTAATACAACCCGCGTACGTTTCCTACTTTGCAAAGATTAATAATAGTTACAAAATAAATAAATATTAGTATAATATTTAATAACAAACGATGTACCCTTGCAAGCACTGCAAAAGTCTCGATAAAATTTTATCAAAAAAGTCTTGGTAAGTGTCCTTTAAGGTACACTTTTTAATTTCGGAATGCGTGTAATCGATAAACGGTCCAATTAATATTAAAATATTTGGTTCATCTTCCGCGACACGTTCCATTAAATCCCACAAGGGTTGGTAGTTCAAATTGTCGGACGGTGTGAACGGTCCAACTGCAACGTATACTCTCAAATCTCCGGTTAACTTCGGAGCATCGACAAACGGCGCGTAACCCTGTACAAATAATTCTTTCGCCAATAAAGCATTTCCCGCCGTATTGGTACCTTCTACCGCAATTATTTGCCCGGGGAAAACTGAATAGTGTTTAATTCCACTGAGATCTAACCGGACAAAGGGGGCATTGTTGTCGCCTTTTGATCTTCTGCAGCCTTCCAAAGTAACGATTTTATTACCGGCTGATTTATCGATAGTGGTTGATATTCTGCCCCATGTTCTAAACGGAACTTGGCTCACAGACGACACGTTTCTCACGTAACGCATGTTTGAATTAGTGGGCCCCATTTCGTTCCAAATATGGCAGAGCCGTTCACCAAAACTTTCACAGCTGCTACTAAGAGCGGCCCCTTGTTTAGACAACATTTCATACATGTAAACCGCATCTTTAGGTACGTGATAATTATCGGCTTTACTAATGGATACATCTTGTTCGCTCCGATTCTTCCAACTCCCCACATTTGGACCAAAGTACAAGAGAACTTTACCTCTAACATTAGTACTGGGGGCACGATTAGGAACGTTTCTGTAACAATAAATAAAAACAAGTTCAATCACATTTCACCGTTGTTAAACGTGCTACTGCGTTGAATCGTAAACAAGTTTTTTTCTTCGAAAATATCTGCCAATATATTTCTCATTATTGTTACAAACAAGGTTTGCCATTAATCTTTAGAATTTTTATCACTCATACTCTTTCATTCTTACTGATTGATTTCGCTTTCGACCGATTATTTCTGATTCAACGCAATAAAAAGGCCTGCATCATCTGACGCTTCAAAGTAATGTTTGCTTACGCTTTCGATGTATAGGTTGATGGCGTAAATGTTTGGCTCACCGCTCGTATTTTACTGTTGCTCTCCGTCTCTTCTGTGGGACTTCTCACCCTCTTAGTTTGCTTGAAAAGAAAACAAAGGAGACGAAATGAGATAAACCAATGAAAAACGAACAGGGGAGGGGGGGATTTTCCTGGAAATGGGAAATCTAGAAAATCTGTCGTGTACAATGTCCCGAGAGAAAAACAGACCACCGTAGACGAGTATGTATCTAGTCACGAAGTGAAGTAAAACGTGCACCACATTCATACTCGTCTATGGAATCATCTGTTTTGCATAGTCCTCGGTTTGTACAGTTCTTCAGCATACGTGGAGGATTCCCGTATTCAAAGGAAAAGGCAAAATTCTTTGGAATCGCCAATGAAACCGTTGTAGAACTCTAAACGTGCTTAATGAGTGTGGATCTAGTCACAATTCGATCATCTGTGCACTAGACCTTCACTCATTTGGCAAATTTAGGTATGTCCTGTTCGTTGCTCTCCTATTCCCTCTTCTCCGGTTACCATCGATCGCCGATCGTCAGTAATTTTCGAAAAGAATATACCTCGGGACGAACGCAGAAAAGATCTTGAACCGATAACGCTACAGTGAAGGAATATAAATAGTTACGGTAGCTTCTGTTCAGGAGTTCAACGCAACAAGGAGGGTTAACTGTTGTTAACCTGACCGTTCTCGGCGCTCGCTTTATTACGTATTATTTCAATCAAGTTCAGACCATTTCTTGTAATTCGCGTTCGATACTATTAAATTTGAATAAAGAGATGCTTTCTTCGGCCCGTAATCCGCCGATTCCCCCTTCCGCCATTTTTCTTTTCAAAATTACCGACTGGTTCGCCCGCTAAACGAATTTCAACTTTCCTTCCCCTTTCTCGTGCGTCTTACATTGTGCTGGTACGTTCACTCGGCGTCTCCGTTACTACCGATATTCGTTCGAGTACGACTCTCCGTGTTCGGGAAAGTGAGTCAAAGAAAATATCTGCAATTACACTCACGAAATCGTACGTTACATAAGTTTCGCTCCGAAGGAGAGGCCAGAAACGTTGGGGAAATTCATTCGTACGATACTTGCTGTACCAGATCATGTAAAACTTTGGGTCGCTCACCGCACAAGCTAGGCTCTGCCTGCCCCTCCTCCTCCTCCCCTCTCCTCTACACCAATCATGCCTAACGAATAACACAGCGAGCCGGGAAGACTATTTCTCCTTCTATCCCTCTCCCTGCAAAACTAGCCGCCCCTGGCAATCTTTCGCTCCACTGTTCAACAAAGATACCGTGGGAAATAACGCAAAGCTTTTACCAGACACGGTTCTATATAACCGGCCATCCACACAAATAATCCGTTGGGACTTGAATCGATTTTTCGACGTTGACATCGATTCGCTTTTTCCCCTCCCTTTCTTTTCTGAAGAAGCTTTCAAAGTTTTTTGAATGACTTGTACAGACCCAACGAAAAGCGTGAAAAAATTCAAACAAATACTGAGAGTGGAAACGGGGGAAAGACAGAGAAAGAGAGAGAGAGAGAGATGTGTGAGATAGAACAGCCGTTGTTGGTCAATTGCACTTAATTAGTAGACGCGAGCGACTCCCTAAGGAATCAATCTTCCAGGCCAAGTATCGTTCAAGAAAACTAATGTTTATATTACCCATTTCCATCGCGCGGAGCAATTAAAAAGAATATGCAACCAACCGTGGTCTCTCGTGCGACCATATTTAATCGCTCCATTATCGTGCATTTCGAAGAACGCAAGATAATAGTACCCGGAATATACCTGACTCACGAAATACTGTTCCACTGAAACTATTCGATAAAGAGAATTCGAGTCTTCCTAACCAACGTGAACCGTAACCCAAAGAAAATACTCGACACCGAGGACGTAGAATATATGTGCGTGTGCGCGCGCGCGCCTGTGTGTTGTGTGATTTCAAAAGAATCCGTATCGTGTACAGACAGTAACGCTCGAAGCACACGTATACACCGTGCACACATACCGAGGAACACAGAGGACAAATACGTGCGCATCTATCGGTATATACGTATCTGTACGAAGAAAATATTACTAGTAGGAAATCT